TCTACACCCTGCCCTGCCCCTGCTCTGCCCCTACCTCGTCCCCCACCCCACCTGCCCGCAGGGCTACTCACTGCCTCCAGGGCCCACCGCAGATCACCCAGGTAGCCCAGCAGCGCCATGGCCACGCCCTCTGTGCCCCACAGCATCAACTGTGCGGGATGGGGCATGAGGGCAGAGTCTTGTTTACACTGCCTGGCTGCCATGTTCTTGGCTGCGCTGCTCCGTCTGGGCCACGCTCGGGGGCGACTCTCCTCCAGGGGGGCTGCTGGTGAGGGGGTCATGGGGGGAGGCAAGGCTGGGTCAATGGCACGTGTGCCCACAGAGAGGGCTCTGAGTGCCACCTTTGGCACGTGTGCCATAGGTTCACCACCATTGTCCTAAATTATGGTGGACCAAACTGTGTGAGAGTCGACTCTTAAAGTATTGTTTTGAACATGTGGATAATCTTTTTTTTTTTTAGTTTAATGTAATCTGTAACATAGGTTTTTCGTGAAGTGAGCTCTTGTTCCAAATATAACTGTGACAGTGATTTCAACAGACAGTGTGATGTACAATAGTGGTTAAATGCTGGTCTAGAAATTGGGAAACTGAGTTCTAGCCCTCCCTTAGATGTGAAAATCAGTGGATTGATTTTGGTTTTGTTGCTCTGTCTCAGCCCAATCTACCTCGCAGGATTATTGTGGGGGGGAAAGAGTTGGGAACTTTAAATCTATATACTACCTTAAGTTCATAAAAAAAATAAAGGGGGATAAAATTAAATGAAATAGACAAAAATAATACATAAGTGCTGTATTTGAAATGAGATAGAGTATGAAGTACACAACTACAGGTGGTCTTTAATTTACAACTGTTTGTTTAACAACCGTTCAAAGTTATGACCGTCTTGGGAAAAATGATTTATGACCTGTCCTCATACTTACATGCATCATACAACTGGAAATTCGGTGCCGATTGTGGTCATAAGTTGAGGACTACCTATATTTTCCATAGGTATTCAAGCCTATTCAATTTTAAGGGTAAATGCTAAACAAAATTCTTCCGGTGTTGCTGAGAATCTTTTAAAGTGTCACTTTATATCCTTTGCATTGCATTCTGGCAAAGGAGGGAACAGATTGCACTTCAAGTAATCTCATTTCATCCAGGTAAAACCTAAAGTTTTGGAGGATTGTTATTGCTATGTATTTCATTGGAATGATTAAAAAAAAAGCTTTGATTCCAGCCTTCCTTCAGTTTTTCCCCTGGTGCAGTGTAAAGAAGTGGCAAGCTATTAAACAGCAGGAGCATCCAGTTTCTGAGCAGATGCTTTGTAGACATAGTGTTTGTCTCTCTTGAAGGAATTTGTTCTGCACTAGCATAGCCTTTTGCATTTCAGAAGAAGAAGCAAACTGGCAACTTTTCTTTAATCAGATGAGGTATCTGAAGCCCTGTTGGAAGTAAATCTGACCAAGTGAATCCAACCAAGTATGCTTACAAACCAACATTACGAATTACATTACCATGTCTCCTGGTAACCAGCCAATGGCCCTTTTTCAGTTGCCCTTCCCTTGCTCAGGATGGATAGTTATCACAACCTGTTGGACTTTTGTATTGCTCAGCATTGAAGAATAGACTCATTTATTTACGTTTATTGGTCACTGAGCTCCAATGGACTCTGGAGTGGCCCCAATTATCCAGTGGGATGTAGAATTATGTCATCAATAATTTATGAACTAATAATTTACCAATAAGATTTAGCTGTGGATGATTGTAATGAATTGTGACGTCCATTCCTTGAAATGTTTATTGTACTACTTTTATGTATGTATAAATTATAAATTATTATAATTTTGTGTATTATTTTTTTTCTGATGGAGGAACTCAGCAGTTTGGGATTAGGGTTTATCAGTATGTGGATGATACTCAGTTGCATCTTTTCATCCTTAGCCAGTCAATTCCTGAATTGTCATCTCCTGCTTGAGGAGTAGGTGGCAATATTGTGCTCTTCCTGCACTAAGAGAACTAAGAGGTTTTCCTCACAGTCATTCATGCCTCAATCATGTTTTGGAATGAGATTTTCTTGATGTTACCTTTAAAAAACACATCTTGTTCAAACGACTGTGTCCATAGACAACTCTGTTGCATGAACTGTGTTGGGACACAATTTAAGAGGTTGATGATTATGCCCTAGTCTAGGACCTAACTATGTGAGAGACTATCTTTCTCTTGTAGTATCTACTCACTTTGGGTCCTGTTATTAAGCCAAAATCTTGTTCTGGGTCCAGGCAATTAAACAATGCCATTTAGAAGGACCAGGAAACAGTCCTGCCTTGAGGATTTTTTGTTTGGCTGCTTTGATCTGCTTAAAGTGAATTCTGAAAATGTGAGTTTCCTTTTAGGCCTTGGGTTGGGAATGTTGAGGATGAATTTTTTTTCATTTGTTGTCTTATGTGTGAGTTTATATCTCTATAACATAGATTTAAAAATATTTTTCAATTGTAAAGTCATTATTTTTGTTTGGGAATAATTAAATAATTATCATTTTTAAAAATTATTATTCCAATAATTAATTATTGGAAACAGAATGCAGAAACTTTCTATATCTTTATATAGAAGCGAACTGCAGTACCCTTTTCTGATTCAAACAATACAATAATAAAATACACGTATTATATCACTTGAAATTATTAAAATTATTAAACTCTTATGAGATAGTAAATGCAGGTTAGAACAAAATCGAGGGATGAAAGTATTAGTAGAACGTAAAAATCTTAGCTGTTTATTGGAAACTTAAAAGCTGATTCCATGCCTCTTGGAAAAGGGAACTTCCATGATTTTAGAGACACTTTCTTTTTTTAAACAAAGGTGCTTTGCATCCAATAGTTGCACTCTGGAAAATAGTAGCATGCGTGCAGAACTGTCTTGATATTCTACAGAGGGAAGGGCTCATTTTGGAAGGATGCAGTCTTCTGCTGTCCTGGCATCAGTTTATTTAGGGCTTTGAAGATAAAAGCCAGCACTTTGAACTATATCGAGAAATGAACTGGAAGTGAATCAAATCCTAATAAATAAAGTGGGCCAAATGAATTTCTGATGGTTTTTCTGACTCCCCCCTCCCTTTGCCTCGAATTAATAATAACCCATATGTTAGTGGTTACTTCTGTATTATCTAGGAAGGACCGCAACATTTACTGGAATGTCCTGATGTCTTTATAAACATCTCCAAAGGGTTTTTTTGGCAATAGTATAGTAAAAAATGTGATTTACTATTGTTTACTTCTGAACTGTTCTCCCTCCATTTCCCAGTGTAGCCTACAATCCTCAACTAATCAGCCAAAGCCACAGGTTCTCTCCAAAATTCACATATTGCTCTCTATTAAGTTTGATATCCCAGTTTTGGAACTGCCTTCTAAGCACAAATGGAGATATGTAAAAATGTGCTCAAGGACATATCTCATCAGTTTATGCTTAGGGGTACGTGTCTGCATGTTCTTTGAATATAAGAACATAACAATTTGAATTCTATGCATCCCACAGCATTTATTTAGAAACTCCTAATATGCTATGTTAAGTCATTTCTGATCCATCAGTGTAGAAATTGCCAGTAATGATGGCTGTAAATATCCTAGTGCCCAATTATCTCCAGATTTTTTTAAAAAAACAAGTAAAAATTAGGTTGGGCAGCAGCCAGCGCAGTCGTGCAAACTTTTCTCAAAAAGTTACAACTCCACTGCATTCAATGTGCTTAATCAAAATATAAAAAGCCAGTGAACTTTAATAGCTTCATATTCATTTGTTTTTTCCTTAGATAATTCTGTCAGTAATAGAATTTAAGATGTTTTTCTGTCCCCAAAGTATTTCAAATAGTGATTAAGATCTGCTCACAGATAAAATAAATGCTGAATTTTCTGTCAAATGCTGACCTATTTTTTATTTTCATTGAGCAATAACGTCTCAAACTTGCATTACATCAAGTTCATTTTCAAAAGTAGTAAATGAAATCACTCCCGAAAGCAGGTTAGCATGCAGACTAACTCCACTGCATATAAATGTAGATAAAATAATTTTGGAAGCTTCAGTGTTGGCAACTTGCTATTTTCTTTAATGTATTTTCTTTAAAAAATTCCAAATATTGAGCCCTCTGGTGGTTTGTAAGTATGTATTTGCCTGTCAGACTTTTTTTCTTCTTCTTCTAGTATTGTGCTTATTAAGAGAATAGTCATGATGGTAGTATGACTGTCTCTGCTGGGAAATTAGTATATCCCTTGTGCAGTTGGTTAGACTAGATGAACCAAGTGTTTGTTCCAGCAGGAACACTTATGAGTGTGTTAGATTCTCATAATAATTGGACCATAACAATGCCCAGCAAAAAAAGGTATAAATTGAGCAACTGAAATGTTATCCTAAAAGGATAATCCCAAAAAGAAAAAAGTCCTATACTAAAAATGAATCCACACAAAGGAGGAAGATGGGGCAGAACAATATCTATAAGCACACCTTCCAGTTTCTTTACTGGAGATTGTCAACTCCCACTGAAACCAGTTCTTGCTATTTTCCCACTTCCGACAAGAACACACAAATGCAAAATTGATAGTCAGAGGCCACATTCTGAAAAAGGTCCAGACAAAAAGTTCAGTGTTAATTTTAATAATGACTCTTGATTAAAATGACTTTTCCATAAAAGTATTATGGGTAAAAAAAAATTACCTGTAAAATATTTTTGCTTTTGTTAATTAGTTGATTTTTCCGCAGAGAGAGGCACAAAATGTGGGCATAAATTGCTTTTTGCACATTCCAAAAAGTACACAGAGACACATTTACAGGAATGCTTGCCTGCAATCACCTGCTTGGCTCTGCAAACGGCTATAACTGCAAAAGAAAGCTATTTCTAAAATGGCGATGCTCATGGGAATAAGTGTGTGCACCTTATTATGAAAACAGGGATCAATCCCCATTGTCTTCTGAATGAATTGACTTGTATCTCATTATTTACCTGTTGCTGGTCCTTCTTTTTCTCTTGTCAGGTTCCTACATGATAGTGGACTCTTCACACCACAGCCATGGAGAAAAGGCTCGACTTCAACTTCCTAACATGAAAGAGAACGATACCCACTGTATTGACTTCAGCTACCTTTTGTATAGTAAGAAAGGGACAAGCCCTGGGACTCTGAACATCTTGGTTAGGGTGAACAAAGGTCCTCTGGCGAACCCCATTTGGAACGTGACCGGCTCCACTGGCAAAGACTGGCTACGGGCAGAACTGGCTGTCAGCACCTTCTGGCCAAATGAATACCAGGTAAGCCAATAACAAAACAAGACAAAGAACGACGAAAAGTGTTTGTATCTACTATCTGCAGGTAAATTTCTTCACTTCCTGACCATGCATCCTTAAGATGCCATTAGAAAAGGAGGATCCTACTGCAGTGCAGAAGTAATGAGAGACTATCAATGAATGTTCCAGGTGTGTTATATCTTTCATTTCCCCCTCAGCATCTCTGAAAATGGACCGGAAGGAACAAAAGTATTTCCAAAGATTTAGGATGCGGCATTGATAAAAAAATATTCACTCATCAGTGTCTTAAATGGGTGGAAATAGATTGTGGATAGGGAAAAGAGAGAAGATGATACACTCATCTCAAGTAGGAATATGTCACATGGAAATTCTGATCAGTAAGAGAGATATTTTGCTAATAAGTTTTGGGAAAGCATTCACCCACCAGAGCCTTCTCCTCTATATTTCCTGCTGTTGTGGCTATTTGTTTATGCACACAACAAAGCAAATGCTAAGGGAAAATGAAATCTTTCCCATTTCTCTCCATCAAATGAAATGTAGGTCAGATGCATTTGTTTACACCAGCTTTTCATTACTGTAAGATGAACCGGCTCTAAGTGCCACCTAATGGAGTGCCTTTGGTAAGCCATATAATCTTGTACAGTTTCATGGCGAGAGAAAAGCTCCATCACCCTGAACTATTTTCTTGCTTTGTGAACAGGGTGTGCTTTCTTTCTTTCTCTCTCTCTCTCTCTCTCTCTCTTTCTTTTTGGCTGTTCTTTTGTAAGCACTTCCTTTCAACACATGAGGTCAACACAGCTGCTTAAAAGTACCAATTCCCTTCCCCCTGTGCAAAGCTGGTTTTAATGCTGTGTTTCACTACAGAATATAGCGTGAATGTCTCCTTTGTTTAGCTGCAATTCTCTCTGACAATTCTTCAGTTGACTAACTCTGCTGGTTGCATGTTAGCCTATTGAGAGTTTAGCAAACACTCGCATAATGTCACATGTGTTTAAGACAGGATTGACAGCTATGAATTTGCTTTTAAGGGCTTCACTTGAAAAGTAAAACAAAGGCATATTTACACCCAGAATAAATTTGATATTACAGGGAAGTAGAGCCTACCATAAATAAAGCAGACAAGCAGGCTTTTCTATGTATACATACATATACATATACATATACATCATTTAAAACAATTTGTAAGTAAGTAGTAAGTCAGAGCAACAGCTTCGCTATTCAGCTTCTTTAATGCTACTTTATATATGTAGCAAGTGAGAAAGCAAATATCACCCAGGTTACAATATCATTTTCCCCTCCTTCTTATCATCAAATTATTAACTTGTATAGTGAAATGTTAACTTACCACTGATGGTTATCTGCTAGAAAAAAATAAAGGCTTTTTTTCCCCCCCTGAAAAACAAGAGCCATCAAATTGACACATATGTGAATTTCTTGTTATCATCTGTCAGAGTTTGCTTTTATCAACTTCACCAAATAGAAAAGGATCCTGGTGGGAAATAATGAAATAAGTTTGCTAGAAATGTAAGGTCCTACATGAATGTAGTGGAGCTTGGAATGCCTCTCTTGGCAAAAAGTTTGATTGTAAAATGGCAGCCTGTGTTTTATAGAGGAAAGAACAATTTAATCTTTGTTGTTAACAGAATGGATTCCGGGTGGTCTGATAATATTAAGTATTTTGTTCAAAGGAGAAAATGTTTCATGTGATGAGAGTCATACCAGCTTCTTTTCGATGCAGAGCTAATCTATTTATTAATACTTGGGGCCATGCTAAAATGGTTTGTAGTGGCAGTGTGAAGCACTACAGGTGGAATGACTCTTGCATGACAATTCAATATATAGGGACTTAGTTTGCATGATTTTTCTTCCCTCTTCATTTGGTTGAGATGAAAAAAATAGACTCGCCCTGTTCTTCCCTTACACTGTTTTATTGCTGACAGTGGCCGAACCGTGTCTTTTATTCTCTCTTGAAGTCAGAATGAGTTCAACTCTGTTGAACTCAGATGTCTTTGCATTGCTTAAATCTGACACCGTAAACTCTGAAGAGCTAAGTATGAGATTTTTTTTTAATTGTGCGTGTGAAGCACACTTCTGAAAGGACTACCTTGCAAATGATCATTCTTCCCTGATGGTTGTTGGGATACGTCTTATTATGTTGTAATCAAGTTGGAGTGAGTGGTTAGTGTTTAAAAATCATTAAAAATACTTTATTAATGTTGTCCTGCTTAGTTTCAGGGCCAACCTATTTTGCACTGCATGTGCCTAATTCTTACAGCAAAACTTACCAATGCAGGTTGCAACATGGAGTTTTGTTTCTTAGCCAGCTTGTTACAGAACTAGACAATGATTTAACACTGAGAGAGAATGACTACCCGAAGATCACCCAATTGGTTTACTCTGCCAAGGGAAGCCTGAGTTTCCCCATTCACTGTCCAGTATCTTAACCATGGCACCATGCTGGCTCTCTAGAACAATGCTTTAATATAATAGATTAATTAATGCTTTATGAGTGTTTTGCATTGTAATGTGTGCCATGAGGTTAGCACAGGAGATTTGGAGATCAGTATAGCTTTAGAGCAATATATCACTTAGACTTTTATACCGCTCCATAGTGCTTTACAGCCCTCTCTAAGCAGTTTACAGAGTCAACATATTGCCCCCAACAATCTGGGTCCTCATTTTATCAACCTCAGAAGGATGGAAGGCTGAGTCAAACTTGAGCCAGTCAGGATCGAACTCCTGGCAGTGAGCTGAATTAGCCTGCAACACTGCATTCTAACCACTGTGCCAACACGGCTCTTTTATTTCTGCAACCTTCTTTTTATTGATATACAATTTTGCATGACGTTATTGATTATGTTATGATATCATTTTATCTATTTAGTTATTGTAATATGTCTTAATTTTAATTGTATATCACCCTAACCTGTGTGAAATAGGACAATATGAAAATATGATAAAATAAGTAAATAAGTTTACATTGGAGCGTGATCTTATTTTCTGTAACAAAACAGCCACAAATAGAACTGCTTTTGAGATGGCAAGTTGTAGCTGCTGTTGGTCTTGCCTCTGACAAAAAGATGGTAGAAACGTTCCTTTGAAACAGCTTTGTCAAATGACATAGTAGCCACTTTAGTGGAAAAACAGGTATCTAGTGAATTTCCGTTTGAAGGGAGATGTTCCAGAAGAGATACTCTGTATTGGCCAAGTGCCTTGTTGGTACAAAGCTCATTGCTCCTCTGCTTTAAAAAGTGCAGTACATTGTCTTGTCAAAGCAAATGATGTCCCTCTTGTTCTGCTAATAATTCTGCTCTGGTAATAAATAATACAGAAGAAATCCAGTTCAGGAAATTTTACACATGGCATCCTTAGATATACAATATTGCAACAAATTGGATTGGGTAGTAGGAAATAAGAGATGAATAAGGCCAATCTAGTCAGCCAGGACAATTTCCAGATGTAGATGATGGATGGGAACATGAGTTAGTAATATCAAGCATACACATTAAAATGAGAAAATTAAAGAGGATATGTGTACCAGCAAGATATGAACCGGAGGATGAAGGCTAAACAGAAAAGATATATCTCCTAAATTTCAGAATTGAAAGAGCAAAGTGTTTTCAGAACAAGCTATTATGATAGCCAGGGAAAGATGAAATCTTTGGGCAACAAGGACATATGAGAATTGATCAGGGATTGTGTGTGTGCAAAGCAAGGAAAAAGTTTTACCCACTTCCAAGTTATCAGTACAAATTAAAAATGAAAAAAAAACAAAACCTGACAAATTTAGCATTCTGATCTAAGTAGCCAAGTGGATAAGAGATAAGAGTATTAAAATGGTAGAATGTGGCCGACTGTGGATAAGATCATAGTTGTTGGTGATAAATGCTTTGGGTGAGAAAAGACCACCCCCCCTCCAAATCTCTCTATATAGATACATACATACATGCATATGCTTCATGCTGTTCCTTGCCCTCTGAAAGAAAAACTGCCAGCAATTCACAGTTCTTTAGCTATAACTTTTCTGTGAATAAGGACAAGTCAGTCTTCCTATGAAACATCCAAACTACTTGAGATCAGTTCATACTTGTGGTGGCAGACAGAAGCTTGTTTTAAGCTTCTTCAAATATAACCACAAGTACCATCAGGCAATACATAACTTCAACCTGCTGTCTGGCTTTACATAGTCTTCCTGGAAATAAGCATTACTTGGGAACACAGAAATAGATTCAAAACATGTATTTGTGTCATCTGGACTCCTAAGAATTCCAAAATCTCCACAATCCCTACTTGGATTTATAGTTTTTCTTCTTTGGAAAAGCTGATAATGCCAGGTGATAAATAGTATTCTCAAAAGCAGTTTGTGATAATGCCTTTTTGTTTGGAGTGTGGTTGTGGGAGGCTTAGCTGTCCATGAATCATAGCAGTTCTTTAGCTCTGAGTCAGCTTTCTGACCCTTTAGAAAACACAGACAGACTGTACTGAAAAACACATAGAATGTCTGGAGTGCTGCTCTACTTTTGAATTTTGTTTATAGTAAAGGTACGGTGCTGTAACTTCAGGGAGGGATTAAGTTTTCCCTTCCTTTGCATGAAGAACTTCCAGGCCAGTTCAGGGCATATCAGTATGTTAAATAAATAAAATCAGGAGCAGCATGATAATATAGGAGATAACCCATGCCCTGTTGCAGGGGTGTCAAACTCAATTTCATTGAGGACCGCATCAGCATTGCGGTTGCCCTTGGGGGGCTGTGTGGGTGTGGCCATGGTGGGTGTGGCCTACTGGGTGGGCGTGGATGGAGTGGGTGTGGCTTACTGTGGGCATGGCCACCTCTACATTGTTCGCGTCAAGGGTGCCTGTGGGGGCCTGGGCAGGAGTGGGATAGATCTGAGGGTCTCTGGCAGAAGGGGATGGGACCAGGGCAAGTGCCAAGGCATGGTCCACTGGAAGAGCCTTACTGTTCCTCTCAGGCCATGTGTGGGGGCTGAATGGTGGTGTGGGCT